CCCCAAAACCCCAAAACCCCAAAACCCCAAAACCCCGCTTTTAACAGGTTTTATTGAAAAATTAACTAAAAATTAGAGCTTAATTGTTAACAAAAATGGAAACTATCCCATAAGTTAAGGACATCAAAGCTTATAGGGAGAGAGCACTTAGTGTAATACAGGCCTTCTGGTTCCTCTGTAGCCTCTTATTACTGATGGCTTTTTATAGGTGTCATAATTACCTTCTTCGTTATAACTCTGGTTCTCTTCTTCAGTGTAGCCTTCTTCAGTATCGCCTTCTTCATTGTATCCTATAGGAGGATATTCTTGATCTCTCTGGTAATGATTATCATAATCCCCGTAATATTCTTCAGAATATGGGTTATGATAATGTCTGTATCCTCCGTTATAATAGCCTCTTCCTCTTGTGAACCCTCTCGGTCTATAGCTATCTCTATCATCGAATTCTGGCTCCCAATATTCCTTTACTTGGTCTTCGGGAATTGGTTCTTGGTACCCGATTCCATCATCTTCGAGTTTTTCCTTTGACAGGATTACTTTAAAAATGAGATACTGTCTTTCTGATCCATCTGGTTTTTGCTCAGTTATTGGGTTAATACTGTTAAGTTGGTGGAGCCCCTTGATCCTTCTCTTAAGGATCTCCACTAGAGGAACCAGGTTCTCCATAGCCCTTCCTGCTGCTTTAAGCGTCACTATATCATAAGGATTTTCACTGTTTTCCATTAAGTTATACACTACTGGGGAGATCTATTGGGTCGACCTGAAATCAAGATCCTGCATTTTGTAATTCCTTTTTGCTGCTAGTTTATTGTTATTGCTCAGATTCTTAATTAATTTAGATGGCCCAGTTGGGCATTCAAACGAAATTCCTGAATCTTTCTTGATACTAGAGAGTTTGTTCGGATATGAATTGAGTGGCTTAACTGCATGAATTGATAGAGTATCAATGTTCTCTTCCCCGGATCTATATATAAAAAGCTAATCTTTACTCATAATTTGCCGGCTCATTGTCTTTGGAATATTTAGATCAGTATATTTCTATTTCTTCATCTGTAAAAGGTGGAACTCTTGAAGAAATGTCATCAAAGCTTTCTCCTTTAAAGAATGGGTGATTTTTGAGTTCTTCAAGAGAATACTTTGATCCCTCAACTCCTGCACCAAGTCTTTTAAATGGTCATTTTCTTAATAACTTTTTGATTAAATCTCTAGCATCTTTATCAATTTGATCAGGTATTGGGAAATCATTGTTCCTAATTTTATCTTCAATCTCCCATTTTTGTTTGCCTCTAAACAAAGCGTTGCCTGTAAGACATTCAAAAAGGATACAACCAAGTGCCCAAAGGTCTGAACTGAATCAGGCCAAGTGACTCATCAACATTTCTGGACTAAGATACAGAGGTGTTCCAATATGCGTGTTCTATAAATAAATTCTTAACTTTACTCTCTTTCTTGATTCTTCTCTCTGAACTTTTAATTTTTGCAGTTTTTCAAACTCACCGTCGCTAATGTCACTATCAGAGTCAGAGTCTGAGCTTTCCTCGATTTCAGTCTTGTCATCCATAAGCTCAGTGTCTTCTTGGATAGCATAATCAACTTCTTCTGCATCGTACTTTTTGGCTGCTCCAAAATCTCATAGCTTAATATGTAGTGTATCATCTAGCAGAAGATTCTGGGGTTTCAAGTCACGGTGGACAACCTTATTGTCTCGTAAATATGCCAAGGCATTAATGATCTCCATGATATAAAACCTAGTCAGATTTACACTTAGAGAACCGAAATTTGTGATGAGGGTCCTAAGGTTTCCAATTGGACAAAGTTCGAATAGAAAGTATCAATAATCAGAATCATGAAAATATCCTTCAAGTCTCACAATATTTGGATGCTCAAGCTCGTCAGTGATTTCTTTCTCACGCATTATTAGTCTACCTAGCCCTGAATTGGTGATAATTTCTTTAAATAGTCTTTTCATTGCATATTTTTGGAAATTAAGCTTGCAATGTACAAGGAAAACTATATATAGTTAAAAGCTTTTCTAAAATACCTTCTCCATAGCCTCCTTTACCTATTAGAACTTTAGTTTTATCCAAATCATTCATATTAAAAGTATATCCGTATTGGTCACAGGCATCTTTAAGTTTAAGCTTGGGTCTCTGTACCATCTTAGCTGGTTTCTTTTCCTCCAGCTCCTCAGTAATAGTTTGTCTGTATGGGTCAATATTTCTTGTCTTATCTTCAAACACTTCTTCCCCATAAGGTTCGAAGAAATCTTCCTCTTTAACTTCTGCTTCATTTATCCCAGTTGCCAATGAGTGGAAATTATCATGTTTGGCAAGGCTATTTGGGACCTGGATGCCTCACTCTTGGCTGATAAACACTGACTCTCTTCTGCTCTCAATAAGCTGTAGAGAGATCCTCTCACTAACATTGGCATTCTTTTCAACAGTTTCGACCTGCCTGTTATTGAAGTCAAAATTAGGATCAGCAGTGTAATCATATTCAACTTCTTTCTTAAGAATTTCGTTGAGAATTGGGTTCTTCTTGATTTTCACCTTTTCTTCAAAGGCTAATTCAAAGTCCTCTATAAGTAAAATCAGGATGGGGTTCAGAGATATGCAGTGGCTACCCTTCTCAGCTGAGAAGGCTGGGTAGGCCATTTCAGAATTGGAGTTTAGGTTAGAAAATCGATTTTTAAGAAAGATTAATATCAGAAATATCTCTAGAGTGATTTTGAAGAGTGACTTTTTAGCAAGGAATTTAAGAGTAAGATAGGAATCTAGACTCCTTTGAAATTAAAAAATGGAATATTAGAGGTTGTATTCTAAGAAAAGATGAAAGCTTTAGAGCTGTTCGAAGAGAGAATAGAACTTTAAGAAATATTTACTTACCCATTTTAGTTTCACTGAAGAAATTATTATAGATTTCAACCAGGGTTTATGAATAAGGGGTTTTGGGGTTTTGGGGTTTTGGGG